CCGACTTTGATGTTAATGCTATCTAGCGGTTTAAATCGTCGTCCCAGCTTTGTTAGTGAGCCCCGTTAATACGGTCGATCTTTAAAGACATAATATTCTTAGAAATACATATTATACACAGTTGTGTCCAGCAAAATTTTTAGGTGGTGTTTAGCAACGTTCGAAAAATGTGTGCGTGCATTACGCATACAGGATCCAACGGCTAGACGGCTCTGGACTAGAAACTGAAGCGTATGTGACACACAGACGCACGCACACGCCAGTTGGACGCTTCGCCTAGATTCGGAAACAGGTGCCAAGGAGAACCCAAACTCCTCGCGAGGAACCCGAAAATCACGAAAAAGGTGCTCCACGAGGACGATTTTGAGCGTATTTCTCAACCGATCGAGTTCGACCAGTGCTCGTTTTAAAGATAACGTGGTGACGTGTGTTAATATGGGAGCGATTTTTGATGAAGCAATTCTTTCCTACTTAAAAGAGCATTCAAATTGTCATTGCACTTTTTAATACGAAAATGACCACTTATCGAAAATTGCTCCCATATAAACACAAGTCAACATTTTATCTTTAATATGAGCACTCGTTGAACTCGATCGGTGGAGAAATACGCCTGGAATCGTGTCCCCGTCAAACCCTGCAAAATCGCTCGAGTGGTGAGCGCCCTTAATAAATTTATAAGTCAATCAACCGGTTCGGATACTACGAAATTAGATGAAATTGCTTCAAATTTTGTAAACCGTGTAAAACCGTACATACAAAACTATGGTTTAGATAATATACTTAATGTCGACGAAAGCGATTTCACTTTGGAATTGCAGTCTGGTCGAACATTAGCTATACGAGGATCAAAAACGTTCGAAGATGTAGTACAGTCTTTATCTGCTATAACTCATAGCTGTACCATACTTCCTATAATATCTGCTTCCGGTAAACTTGTTTCGCCATTATTCATTGTTTTAAAAGAACAAATTGGAACTTTTGGACAGCGTGTTCTGGAAAGTTTATTCCAACCACCGAATGTTTATCTCGTGGAATAAATTCCTGGAAAATGAACAACAGCACTTTTCCCTGAATGGCTTACCCAAGTGTACACTGGCGGACATGAATGCCTTCCCATCAAGCATTTCCGTTACCGTGTCTACAGGGAAGGCATTCGTGTCCACCGCTGTACCTACCAAACAGTGGATCCAGTAGTGGGTTACTATTAGATTCGTGGACAGGTCATTGCTCATCTTCATTGAAGGAAATAATACCAGTTAGTAGAGATGTTGAAATACTTACTATACCTAAAAAAACAACAAGGATGATTCAACCCCTCAATGTTAACGGATTTCGAATTTGGACAAATTTTCTAAGAAAATTCTTCGATATTGTTATATTAGCTGATTACAACATCAATTTACGAACACGCAATAATGCAATAAAATTACATTTTTTAGTACATAACCAGCTTTTGTCACCGAAATATCACAAACTGTTTGTCTACGCATGGTACAAGAGCGGTTCCTAAACGAGAGACCATATGGTTTATGAAAATCCCGTTGATCTTGCGTTCAGTCAACAGGATTGTATGTAAGCGCCACGTTATTCTATATGTGGCAGTTACGCTATAATTCGATGTTCATTGTGTGAGAAATTTCTGTGCTTCACATATTTCTTTGGGGAATTCCACCATCACCATTGATTCAAATTGGAATATATCAGAAGAAGTATTAGAATAATTTAAAAATCTTCCAATTCTCGTTAGAAGGATACGTTATGTTAGTATCATGAGCCTAGAAATTGTAACTATATTAACTGGCCAAATAAAAATTCTATATGTAGAATAATCAATTCAGCATATACCAGTTACCTATTAACAATGAAGTACATAAAACGTACATACCTTATTGTTTTTCACACATTGGAGATTAAACAGATTGTTACATATTGTAATATACTACCCGATTCTCTTTGGAATATTCAATGTTAAAAACAGTGAAACAGTTGTCAACTATCTTATGCAATTGACGTCATCGTTCAATAAAGGATATTATTTCTAATACTCTCGGCTATTTCCTACAATATTAAGAAATTGGTTGGTGTTACAAGCAGTTCACTAAAACCATAATAAGAAATTCTGAAAATTGTTTGTCCTCAAAAAAGGTGTTTTCCATAATTAGCAATGAATTTCGTAAATAAAAATGATTGTGTCGAGTCTCCGTTGCTATATTTTCAATATACGATAATATTTCACGAAGAAACCAAATTAATAAAAATTATTATTTACAACTTTGCTGTAATTTCTTACAATTGTTTAAATTTTTTAATTTTTTATTTCACCATGTAATAACTCTTATTAAGAGAATTATCTTTTATCGGAAACATTTTATCGTATCTTTCACCATTTGCGAGCAATAAAATGAAAACTGAAAATCGAATAATTTTCAGATTATTTCACCTCTTTTAAATAATTTTCCGCCGAAAAAAAAATGATTTGTAACTCATCTAAACCCACTGTAAATATTCCCCAAGTTGCAAAATTTTTTAATTTCCGAGTTGGGAAACTTCCCTTGTGAGTCTGAAGTACTCAATTTCTATAGTATTTTAAATTGTTCGAGCTAGGTTCTGAAACTTTGAATTTCCGATTCTAAACTTTCAAGAACCGTAGAACAGCAAAAACGTGCACGAACGACGGCATGTTGGTTGTAGTCCATGATAAATAAAAACTTTTGTTATAAAAAACTGAAATTTCATGAGTTTCAGGACCTACCTTAGGACCTCCATATTTACATGGTAAAATTTGAAACCAATCTGTACACCCAATTCAAAAATTACTTTAACAGACGATTTGATCTCTCAGGTATACAGGGTACACAGGGTGTATCCGAAATGGAGGTCGCGGTTTAGACATCGCTATCCTCTGAGAAAGGAGTCGAAAAAACCTGTACTATTTTGTCCTACAATGCATAATTTTTCTATAATAATTAATTAAAGCAGAGTCAATTAATCGCGTCCCTCACCGGAACGCATAGCGGAGAGGACGCCGGTAAGGCTGCTACACTGCAGACAGCCGAACGCAGGAGAATTATGCACTGTAGGAAAAAATAGTACAGGACTTTGCGATTCCTTTTTAAACAAGGACAGTGCTATATAAACCGTGACCACCATTACACCTTGTATATACGCTGACACTTCCATATCACCTTGAGTCATTACACGCTAGATGAGCCTCATGCCATTCCTTTAAACTACAGCTTTCTACTACAGAATAGTTTGACTCCGCCCAGCCAACCAATGGAATTCAGACCAAACTGTTTTAATCCACTTAGCAAACATAGATTTTTTAATGCGTCTACGATACAATTCATTCTAACTGCGTAACTTGCACCGATCTGACGAGCTAGGTAGCGCTTTATTATAGCAATTGTCATAATTGCATATTCATTGTTATATTGTTGATTATTAATATAATCGTTTATTACTGCGTCATATCAACCAGTTGTACAAAATTAATTTGGTGTGAAACCGCGAAAGACACGATTCAATAACGTCAAATCCTACAAACTCTTTCTCGCGAATTTATATAAACCTATGTCAGCGGAATAATATCATAAAATTTTATCATTGCTACACAATCAGTGTTCGTCCCCCCAATGCAACAACTTATTTTAATATTCTTGGTTCCAAAGCGGACATGGGAATGAAAATCCAGGGGAATTTGAAAATCCAGTGAAATTCAGTTTTAGAGAATCTTCTAGAACAGAATGTAATGTCAAAGGTCGCAAAGACAGCATTTGTATGATTGTCTTTGGTGAAAGAGGTTGTTATGTTTAGTAGTGCACACGATACTTTATGTAACAAATGTATAATATAGTACGATAAGGATGTACACAAATCTCTATTTCATAATTCGTTTGTTTAAATATTTGGTCACAACATTGAATGGCAATATTTTGTTGAATATTTTCATAAGAATAAACAAGTTTCTAAAGGTTCGATCTTATATGAACCACGAAACAGTTAACGAAACAGTTAACGAAACACTTTTTTTATCAACACACAAACACGACACACCTGTAACATTTACTAAGCTGGTGTAGGACTTTAGATTTATTTATACCAACTTTATTGTGCTTCTAAACACTCGCGGCTGTTTGAAGGAAATATCAAATACACTTCTGATCACACATGACTGGTAGTAAATTTTCTTGCTTTTTCATTTCAGTATGAAGGTCCCCATGGAATCGTGGACCTACCTATATCGGGCGACATTCGCAATCCTGTAAGTAATTTGTGCTCACCGTTTCATCATCCTTTTACGATATTACAACTGTAGTATAAACACATCAATACCATCATAATTGCGGAAATACTGGTGTTAAAGTTGGGGAAAATAGGAAATAATTTCATAATATTTCTATTTTTTATGCCGTATTAAAGAACGTTATAAGACATCTTTTCAATTGTAGGTAGATTTTCATCTCATTTTAGTGGTAAGCTCAAGGGGCTATTCACTTGGAAATCAAAAGTATTTAATTCCTTAAGAAGTGATTTCAATTGATTTCATACGATAAACAGTAATGTTATGCAGTAGTAAGTGATTTCCAGCACTAATATTATCAGTATTAAAGTTTCGGCGACTTTCAACGAATTTCAATGATTTCCAACAATGTTTTAGCGATTTCAAACGATTTTCTTTGATTTCCAATGATTTCTGAAATGTCTATTACATCCTTCCATGTTTCTTTCTGGTTTCTAATAATTCATAACATGACTTTTACTACTGATTTTTAATAATAATTGCGCAATTTCTTTAAATAATGTTAATCATGTATGTATTAAATTTCTTTAACGGTTTGCCATCTTATGTACGTAAGTTAACTGAATATTTTAATTTATCTCCAATATACTACTAAAATACTCTACTTTATATGTACATAAAGAAATAGTTACATTCATATAATAAACATACAAATAATACTAAGACAAGTACCATGTTAAAAATTCATGACTGAGATAGTAGGTAAGATAGCAAAAAATTTAGGGTTTAATAAGTTTGAAAAATATCTCTGTATTTCGCGATTCGTTTATATACTCAACCCGGCATGCGTACAGCTAAAAAGTAACATGACTCTTAAAGCGGCTATGACACACCTTAATAAAAATAACTAAGTAGTATGTTGTTATTTTAATTAAATTATTTGGATTTGTGACATCTAGCCTTACGCATGAGGATTAATGACGGGCGAACGATTAACCTTGGAAGAAACTTTACCGATCGTCCCGAGATTAAGAGGACGTTTAAAATTATATAATAATATCAAAAAGCTGAGGCGCATCGCTCTGAATTGCTTCAAATGTTTTCCAAGTATAATTAACCGAAAATTCCTTAATTTCATTGAAGAGCATATAATTTAATGATTATCAGTTTTAATGATTTTTTTTTTATTTTAATCAATCATGTTGTTTTTACTTGGTACTTAACGTTAAAGATTGATAAAGCTAATTAAATTATCATGAATAAATCACCAATAAATCGCGAATACAAGAGTAATAGAAAAAAACTAACAACCTGGAAGACAAAACTAAAAACTGAACAATATTAACCCTTTCGGTCGCAACAACAACTGAACAATATTAACCCTTGACGGTCCCTAAAAAGTATTTTTTTCATTAGTTAGATATTGCTGTTTGAAATTCTTATTACTTCTATAAACACAAAACACCCAAAGATATTTCTATAGCTACTTTTCATCTTGAATTAATAAGACAAATATTACGGAAATACCATACAGATGATTGTAGACAAAGCACTCCTAGATCTGCGGATAAACATCCTTTTAGACTTACTGGTAGACATTTCCTGGCGATTTACCCTAGCGCGAAAACAAAACGAAAAAGTGGATTGAGAAAGTACATTGTTTGTATAAAAATGGCGTGCAACGACAAACGCATTACTAATCTAAGATATGTGACGTAGAACTTTTTGTATACCCGTGCTTTGAAACTTTTCAAACGAAATTACATAATTAAATTATATTTTCTAGTTGCATTATAAATAATCTTATCTTTTATCTGTTATGCATCAGTATTTTGCAATTTAAATAAAGCATTGATAATTTACCTCATGTCCCTAGACGTTAAAAGATACGTTCTCTCGGCAGTCAAATTTAAGTGCATCTTCTGTGGCATTGCCCCGTACCGAGGCAGTGCTTCTACGAGCTGATCCGCCATAGCCAAAATGTTAATATTTACCTATAGATGAAAAATATAACAATCACGAAGTGACGTTAGTTAAATGAGCAAAACATTTGACGATTCAAGTATGACATGCGCGGTAATAAACTCTAAATACAAGTGATTTCCAATGATTTCCTGTGATTTCCACTGATTTCCTGTGATTTCCACTGATTCCCACTGATTTCCTGTGATTTCCACTGATTTCCACTGATTTCCAAAATTCTTTTTCCGATGTCATTTGTACCAAAATGATTTGCCACGGATTCCACATGGTTTCCGATGATTTCAATCATTGTTACCTGTTCTAAACGATTTCAAAACGCGATACATTTTTCAAATAAGGCTCTTAATTTACTTCCAGCTGATTTCCATGCGATTTCCAGCATTGAAATGTATGATTTTCTGAGAGAATACCCCCTCGGGTAAGCCCTTAATCGAAATATTGTTACTATATACAAAACTGAGATACGTGTTTCATTTGTAATCTTTACACGGGGAAAAACTAAACCATGCACAGAAATGTGGGACAATGGTGCATGTTTATTATACAAAGTGCTATGGTATTTTTATTGTACGGTTTAGAATTGCATTAAAATGAATTTGTTGAGAAAAAATAATTTAAATAAACTACAAAGCTGTTTCATCATCTATATTACAGACATTAGAAAAAACTAAAATCAATTCTACTGAAGTAACTTCCTTTATTACTAACAAATTTTCATGTTTTATTATTATTATTATTATTATTTGTATCAACGGTGTTCTGGCATTTAACATTATTATTATGTATTACGTTGATTCATTTCATTTATGATTCAAACGTTATTTACAACATTTGTGTATCGTTATACATTTGCTGATATGAAATATTATTCTTCCTGTTACAGTTGAAGAACTAAGACATTGATTCACTTTTGATAATAACCGTGATTTGGATGAAATTTACTGACGCTTGCTAGTTTGACATTTTCTAAAAATTCGCATGACTTGGAGAATTGATGAAGTATTTCATTCGATAACGCTAATGTAAGATGACAGTAATTCAAATCATTTACGTTCCATAATGTATTAATTGTCTGCTCATTGACGGAAGCTGTACACTGGACTCCATCCATAGCTTGCACCTGGTCCGTACTGCCCTCTCCGGCCGCGCAGCGTACTAGCGGCGGGAGCAGCGCGGAATTCGAATCGCTCGNGAGAGAGGGTCTTCCTCGCCTGCATGTAGACATCGATACTAATCCGATTATCGGGAGCCGATACCGAGACCCACACAACAAGGAGTAGAAGGCCCGAGACAGGAGTTTTATCAGTGGTAGAGAAAGCCCGGTGCCTATGCTTCCCGTAGGAGTCAGAGAGAACGCCGCGTCTAGGACCATCGAGCCCCGAGCCGAGCCGGCCCCGACGACGGGAAACTAATTTTTGGTCTTCTCCTTCCCTTTTGTCTCCACGTGTCACGTTTGTCAGAAAATTCATATAACGAAATATTGGCCATTTAAATTTACTTCGGGCTGTAACGGGACTGTTCGACCGTCGCGAAACATGCTACAACTTGTTAGCGTATAATATCATATTGCAAGAATGTCAATTCCTTCGAAAATATGCCCCAATAGACACCAAGTTGGGGGTCAATAAATACAAAAAAATAGAAATATTAGGTCGACACTCAAGAAACAAGTTTTTTATTTTTTCTAATAGAAAATACAATCTGCTATTAGGAGCACCATATGCAACCCTCCTCGAATATATGGTTTCTCGTATTTTTTCAGCTTACTAAAAATGAATTTATTCATTTATTCATTTATTCATTTAATTTACTGCGTTAAATGTGGCGAACTCAATAAACCAGTTGACTCAATTTAGATTTGGAGCTATGAATTCTGTTTCAGTCAAGTTTGGAGTTGATTCAACTACAAAATGTGATTTTGCACTAAATGTCTGTTAAAGAAGATTGTCTTTCAGCCCTGAGCTACGGCCTCGTTTCTTCCAGGACGTCGTTCTCCCTTGCCCTCTCGCGGGTCATATGTTCCCCAACGGCGTTCTCTCTTGATCTCTCGCGGGTCTTACGTCTCCCGACGGTGTTCTCGCTTGGACTCGTTCATCCGCAGGCCTTATCATCCCTTCCTTCCAGGGCTCGCAAGATGGATTGTCATTTTGCGACGACCGCGATCAAGTAATTGACAGAGGGAAAGAAGGATTGACTCCTTAGCGAGAACTGTCGTCCCGAATAAACTATGCCATCTACACGTAACTTTAACTTTACGTCGTCCCTGTTTTATTAAGACATGCAAATTTATAAACCATGTGGAAACTGAAAAATGGTGAAATTTCAGAGTTCCGTTGTTTAAAAAAAAACAAATTGACGGCACTGACATTAAAGCAAAATGATATAAAGACAAATTTTGCAAAAAACGTAAACTAAAATAAGCACAGTAAATAGAGGAAACACGATTGGAAATAAAATTGTATATTTTCGAAGGAATTGACATTCGTGCAATACGATATTATATGCAAACAAGTTGTAGCGTATTTCGCGACGGTCGAACAGTCCCGTTACAGCCCAAAGTAAATTTAAATGGCCAATATTTCGTTATATGAATTTTCTGACAAACGTGACACGTGGAGGGAAAAGGGAAGGAGAAGACCAAAAATAAGTTTCCCGTCGCCGGGGCCGGCTCGGCTCGGCCGCCGGCTCGGGGCTCGAGAGTCCTAGGCGTGGCGTTCTCTCTTACTCCTACGGGTCGCATAGGCACCGGGCTTTCTCTACCACTGTTAAAACTCCTGTCTCGGGCCTTCTACCCCCTGTTGTGAGGGTCTCGGTATCGGCTCCCGATAATCGGATTAGCATCGATGTCTACACGCAGGCGAGGAAGACCCTCTCTCTACCCCGGGCTAAATGGAACTGATTAAATTTCCGAAATGGAAATGGGATTTTTTGTTTTGGATACCTATTTCGAATGAAATCAATTCGTAAGAGTTACTCCGATTTGCGTTTATAATAAACTCGGATAAGAAAAGTCTTTCTTATGTTTACGGGTGCTCATTTACATGCTCATTCAATGATTTACAGGTGTCCATTTATTCCAGGAATACGAAGAATGGTGTAGAACGTAAATATATAAGAGACATGAAATCACGATTTCGTTTCTGTGTCCGATAGTTGATGCGTCGTAAATTTTCCGACGGTATTTCACTGTATATATATTTAGAAACTATTTCCTTAAAGCTAAGATAATATTCTAACTTCGGTTCAGTGAATGGAACAATTGAATCACTAAGAAACTTGTTAACATTTAATAGAACATGTTCTATTATATTCTTTATAAAATTCTGTAAATTATTATTTAACAAAAACTACGTTAGGTGGGTCAGGGACGCTCCACAGTAATACTAAAATAATTTTCATTTATTGTTTTTGTTTATAAATATTTATTTTCTTTAGGAAATCCATTCTGCCCCTCGAGCGATTCTAATTCCGCGCTGCTCCCGCCGCTAGTACGCTGCGCGGCCGGAGAGGGCAGTGCGGACCAGGTGCAAGCCATCGATGGAGTCCAGTGTACATATGCACTCGTGCCCATGTTTCTACGTATTTCTGAGACTTGATGTTAGTAATTGTTTGTTTCATGTCCCTATTCTACATTTTGTCTAAAAAATCTTCAAATTAAGTTTTGTTACTTTGATTAATATTACCTCTCACGCAATAAATGCTTCACTGCAGAACAATTTTAGAAGATGAAAACGGCAGTTGTCTCGAGATTAAAGTGGACAGGAGGCTTACAAGGAAGGTACCTGAGGTGTCTCCCTCCGATTTTGTTCATTTTTAAATATGTTATAGAGGACTAAAATATAAAGGATCCGTGTTTCTTTTTATCGGCGGATAAACACTTTTAGGGGGTGAAATCAGGCTTCAAAGTTGGCCGTACAAGTGGATGAGTTTGCTGTTTCATATAGAAGCACTCGACCGGTTTTCATGAAACAACCGTCACAATGTAGGGAATAAAGAATTATGAAACGTACATTTGGAATTTTTCGAAAAAAAACATTTTTAAGGGGTGAGCCACCCCTTTGAATACTTCTTTTACCCCTTACGCGAGCAGTAATTGCTCTATCCAAATGAAACTTGGTTAATTTATAGACCAGAACAATACAAAAAAAGCAAATTTTGGTTTTTTTCGAAAAACGAATTTTAAGGGTTGTAACAACCCTTTAATAAAATAATGTATAATCTCGTTTTAAAACCAGCTTTGTACGACTTTCTTGGACTTAAAGGACTTTACCGATTAAAATTTATAAAAGAATACGATCAGGTACCATCCGATACATTCGAAGGGTAAATTACCCCTTGGGTTCAGAGGAATATGATTCATAGAATATAAGACAGTGGAGTTAGCTGTCCTCGCAACTAGTGCGTACCCGAGTGGTAACGCCGCGCGAGCGAGCAGTATGCAGTGCCAGGTTATCAAACACTATATGTAAGTAATACTTCGGTTTGTTCAGTTTCGTTCGTTATGTTCGGTTTCCATTATCAGTCTGCTTGATATCAAAGAACGATTGTTATCAAATATTACCGTGAAGGAAAAATCGAAAGTGAATCACATGTCTGGACGAATCGTGTAGACGGATAACATTGTTTTATATTTAAATTGTATTATTATAAAAACTGAACGTAACCGTGTTCGTATTCTTCATTGTAACTGTAGTTCTTAAAGATGAGAGAATGAAATATTACTTACATATAGTGGTTGAAAACCTGGCACTGCATACTGCTCGCTCGCGCGGCGTTACTACTCGGCTATGCACTAGTTGCGAGGTCAGCTACACTGTCTTATATTCTACGAATCACATTCCTTTGAACCCAAGGGGTAATTTACCCTTCGAATGTATTGGATGGTACCAGATCGTATTCTTTTATTAATTTTAATCGGTAAAGTCCTTTAAATCCAAGAAAGTCGTACAAAGCTGGTTTTAAAACGAGATTATACATCATTTTATTAAAGGGTTGTTACAACGCTTACAATTCGTTTTTCGAAAAAAAACAAAATATGCTTTTTTTGTATTGTTCTGGTCTATAAATTAACCAAGTTTCATTTGGATAAAGCAATTACTGCTCGCATAAGGGATAAAAAAAGTATTCAAAGGGGTGGCTCACCCCTTAAAAATGAATTTTTTCGAAAAATTCCAAATGTAAGTTTCATAGTTCTTCATTCCCTACATTTTGACGGTTGTTTCATGAAGATCGGTCGAGTGCTTCTATATGAAAGAGCAAACTCACCCCCTTGCACGGCCAACTTTGAAGCCTGAGTTCACCCCCTAAAAGTGTTTATCCGCCGATAAAAAAACACGGGTCCCTTAGATTTTAGTCCTCTATAACATATTTATAAAATGAACAAAATCGGAAGGGGACACCTCAGGTACCTTCCTTGTTAGTAATAGTGATATTTTCGAATCTAGGTTTATCTATGGTAATTATAATTAAGTGTATAATGTTACTGTTGAAGATAAGAAGATCAAGTCTCTCTTTTATAAGTTCACAAAAGAAGTCAGTCAAAATCCTTGGTCAGTGACCTAAGTGCGTTCCTAGACAAATCTCATGCGAAATAAAAGTTCATAGGAAGTGCATCGAAAATTTTGTTGAATACAACTGCGTATAATATGTACTTCTATGACTGTTATGTCTTTGAATATCGACCGTTTTAACGGTGCTCACTAACAAAGCTGGGACCACAATTTATGCTGCTACATAGCATTAACATCAAAGATGTGATTAGCATTAACATCAAAGTCAGTGAAAAGTAATTGGAATGTTCTTTTAAACTCGAACGGATGAGATGTAATGTGCAATCCGCCATATTTAGTAACATGATCAAATTATGTGTGTCCCTTGGACATAAATAATGCATGCAATAATTAGTCGACTTTGAATTAGGCCCTCCACATATATTGACACATGGACACACGTATACAAAACTTGGACGTTCTGCTTAGATTCCCGGATATTTTGGCAACGGTTATCAAGTAGGTGTGTCACCTTCACTGCCACCTCGTGCATTACGACAAAAGTGCTATACGTAGGCACAAGTTTAACAAGTACTAGTTTTAAAGATTAAATACTGGTGCGA